TTTTCAGGTATATCTGGATCTTAATTTAGGGGGAAGTTAACTGAGAGGATAATCTCAGTGAAAAGAATTGTCTTCGCACTTTTATTTTAAGCCAGAAGAGTGGATTTTAGTCAACTGTTTTGGTATGGGTGGCTTTACAAGATATATATGCTGGGGCGGAAAACTGAACAAGATGCCAGAAGTTATGGATTTTGTATCTTTGCAAATGTAACTTTTAAATATCTGGTTGTTTTAAATCCGAACACCTTTTCAACCTGAACACTTCTCAACTAATATCTATATATTTTAAAATATTATGATCAAGGTTTATAATAATGACCCCTAATGTTTTCTGAATCATAGCAGAATTATTAAGTTAGGATATATTTTTATTATTTGCAAACTAGTTGCCTGGTCTATTTTTTTTAACACTTCTAGATTAATCAGAGCATCCTTGTTGGGCATCCAACCTTGGGCTTGATCTTTGGCCATCTTCACTAACAGATTACAGTTAACAGAAATGAAACAACCAACAGATGATAAACAAATTTAAGAGTCATTACAGCAAGAATATCTATCACAAAATAATTATAATTGAACCAAAATTTTAAGTGTCTCATAGCTTTTTCAATAAGATTTTTTCATATTATGTAGTGAAAAAGAGTTACAATGAAGCATGAATGAATGTACTTTCATTTCTAACTTGATAGAATGTGGTCTGTTGGTGTCAGCATGACAAGAGATGTTAGAAATAGGCTGGGCCTCATTTTCATTTGTTAGGTCATATGTCCAACTTTAATTGGAGGGGCCCTATCTAGTTGCATCTTAACTTACCCCTGGCTTCCCTAGAGATGGTTATGACTACTTGGCCTACAATGGAGGGCTACAAAGGGCCATGTTTACTTAGTTCACTGATAAACATGAGATAAGAATGTGTCTTAGGGAGGGCTGCCTGAAGCAATGCCTGAGGTTGGCAGGGGAGTTCTTCATGTGAGTTATTGAGGGAGGGATCTCAAATGCAGGAGAGTGAAGGAAGCAGGATAGGGCAGGGGGAAAAAAACCCAGCTGGAGGCCAGCCTTAGCCTGGCCTTACAAGGAGTGCTGGGGTAGGTTCTGCACCACAGAACTGGTCCACTTTGGAGGCAAGGTGGCTGGCGTTATGTACCTTCATCATCAGTCGATCACTGACTGCAGGTTACAGGGGTGTGGGGAGTGGGGGTGTTGTAGAGTACTGAACCTCTTATTCTGCAGAGTGCAATTCTCCAGGGAAGGAAGCAGCTGCAGTTAGCAGCTAACACCCACAACTGCTGGGGGATGGGTCAATCTGCCTTGTAAAGGGGGCCTGAACTGGTCACCATCAGTGTGTGTACACTACAGTATGGAAACACTGCCATATGTGTGTTAGGACCCCGGATCCACCCTTAAGAAACATACAACTGAAACACACCACAGAAAGCACTGCAGAACTTGAACACTTAAACTACGAATGACGTTGTTTCTAAAATTATGTTATGAGAACAACTGGGATGAGATGCTGGAAACACATCTCCCTTTCTAACATTGGGTTTAGGAATATCCTCTCCCCTTACCTACTCTCTTTGCTAAGCAGTAGCAGCTGGTGGCGGCTTCTGTGATCAGGGCAAGATGCCCAGCAGTGAAAGAACTTGGTTGGTTAGGAGAATTCAAGGCAGATGAAGTCTCTGGAATGGGGATATGGGGTTTAGGGTGAAAGGAGCTTTAAGGGCAGGGTCTCTTGTTTGTGTCTGATATCTGCACCCAACCTCTCTGCTCTGTTTATTTCTACTGGCCCTAGAGACACCTTTGTCTGCCTGTTTTCCTTTGTCAACACTTTTGCTGTGTGCCAGGATTTCGATCTTTTCCTGGCCTCTGGAACCTGACTTCTAACAGCTTTACCCCTATGCTGACATTTTCTAATAGTTTAACACTAGAAGTAGTAGGGGGAAATCGAAAGCCTTCTCATGCTATATCTCTCCTATTTCTTTTTAAACTTAGCCACCTTAAGTAGAAGACCAAGGCCAGACATGTGTGCTATTGTTGGGAGTTGGGAAGAAAAAAGACAAGTTGGTTCTTCTGCAATTGAAGCCCAGAGGCTTTCCAGGGTGTGCATGGTAATGAGTTCTGAAGTGCCAAGAGGGAGTGAAGAAGGTCAGGGAGCTATAAAAGCGGTACAGGGAAAGTGAACTTATTTACAAAATGGAAACAGACTCACAGACATAGAAAACAAACTTATGGATACCAGGGGAGGGGAGAAGGGGTAGGAAGGGATAAATTGGGAGTTCGAGATTTGCAGATACTAACACTATATATAAAATAAACAAGCTTATACTGTGTAGCACAGGGAACTATATTCAATATCTTGTAGTAACCTATAATGGAAAAGAATATGAAAAGGAATATATGTATGTATATGATTGAAAAATCATGCTGTACACCAGAAATTGACACAATATTGTAAACTGATTGTACTTCAATAATAATAAAAAGTGGTACAGGGATGGGGACAAGGCAGGACTTGGTTTACCTGCAGCAAACACTTACCTTCTTATCCTTCCCCAGTCCCTTTACCATCACCAGTCTGGCTCCTGAAAAAAAAACATTGTGGACTGCCTGAGAGTAAGTCAGGAAGTGGGAATGGGTGGGTGTGGAGCAAGAATAAGAAGACCCTGGGTACTGTAGGCTCTGAAGAAAAGGAGGGAATTCCTTTTTAACTTTTATCTGGAAAAGAGGAGATTTCCCTGTGCTCTTGGGCTGTGGTAGAAATACCTGATTCTACCAACTGCTAATGTGGAAATTACTAGCACTTCGGCTGGTTCAGAATAGTACATTAAAGAGTCTCTTGGTGCAGTCCTAAAACAAGCAAAATCTTTGATAATATCCAAGCTTTACAGAATGATGGGGTGAGGTAAGGATCCTGCAGCTTTATCTCTGGTGGCCTTAGGCAGTATGGGTAGTAGTGAGGCCTGTGTAGCACAGTGCGGCACAATATTTGACCTCGTTATGATTATTGCTATTTTAGTCATCTCCTTTGTGCCAGCCTTCAAGGGTGAGACCCTTGCTTTATTGCCTGCTGTCCTGCCTCTGAAGAGAACCTAGTCTTCCTGACCTGCATGGGTATTGAGGCGACTCTTAGGGAAAAGAAGAGCATTCAAGAAGAGTTTATGGCTGTTTTCTCAGTGATCTTTGAGAAGGGCCAAGACATATATGAGTTTAAGTCTTGGCTCCATTTGTTACTAGCTCTGTGACCGTGGGCAAGTTATTGAGTTATCTGCTATCTCTCTGGCCTGAATTTTCTCAGCTGCTTTAGAGCCACAAAGAGGAGGGGAGGGAAGGATAATACTTATAACTACCACCAATAATTGTGAGAATTAAACAACAACAACAAAAGTGGGTGTAAAGCACTTAACATAGTACCTAGTCCATAGTTGCTCAAGTGTTAACCATGATTATCATTTATTATTTATCAGCTAGAAAGTCTTAGCTGAGAAGACATCTCCATCAAAGTCAATAATTATAATTTCTATTTCAATATACTGCTTAACTCTGTGGTAAGCAATATTCTAGGTGCTGCTTGCATTTAAAACTTTTAGAATTCTCACTCCAAAAACAATAAATGCTGGTGAGTGTGGAGAAAAGGGAACCCTCCTACACTGTTGGTGGGAATGTAACGTGCAGCCACCATGGAAAACAGTATAGAGACTCCTTAAAAAATTAAAAATAGACTTACCATATGATCCAGCAATCCCACTCCTGGGCATATATCCAGAAGAAACTCTAATTCGAAAAGATACAAGCACATCAATGTTCATAGCAGCACTATTTACAATAGCCAAGACATGGAAGCAAACTAAATGTCCATCAACAGATGATTAGATAAAGAATACACACACACACAAGAATACTACTCAGCCATAAAAAGAATGAAATCATATCATTTGTAGCAACATAGATGGACATAGAGATTATCATACTAAGTGAAGTAAGTCAGACAGACAAATATATGTTATCACTTATATGTGGAATCTTAAATATATATATATATATACATATATATATATATATATATATATGAACTTATTTACAAAACAGAAAGAGACTCACAGACATAGAAAACAAACTTATGGTTACCAAAGGGGAAAGGAAGGGGTAAGGGATAAATTAGGAGCTTGGGATTAGCAGATACAAACTATTATATATAAAATAAACAAGAAGTTTCTTCTGCATAGCACAGGGAATTATATTCAATATCTTGTAATAATGTATAATGAAAAATAATATGAAAAAGAATATATATGTATATATAAAACTGAATCACTATACTGTACACCAGAAACTAACACAACATTGTAAATAAACTATACTTAATAAAAAACTAAAATTCTCACTATAACTCTAGAGGTAGATACCCATCTACAGATGAGGAAGCCAAGGAATAGCATGCTTAAATCACTTGCCTAAGACTCCACGGTTGGATACTGGTAGAGTGTAGATTCAAACCCAGAAAGTCAGGTTTACAAAGTCTGTGCCCTTAACCATCGAGGTATGCGGTTAAATAATCAGACAAGGACCGAAAGGAGATGGGGAATGGATGACAGAAAAGGCACAGGTGAACAGCCAGAAACTGAAAATTTAGAGTTTGGGTTGGTCCGGAAGTTTAAAGGCATCATTATGAACTGTTTATGTTGTCAATTTAATTAACAAGTAAGTTAAGCTCCTATTTAAAAATGACTTGGTAAGATTACAAGTCAAATTACAAAAAGGTTGAGAAAATATTCAATAGCTAACTATAACTAACAGGATAGGCCTGGTCTCTTACATCTTTTACCAGATAAGTGCCCTGGATCTCCGAACCAAGCAATCTGCGTGCCAGGGGGCGTGTCGACGTGCCAGGGGGCGTGTCGACGTGCTAGGGGGGCGTCGATAGTCCAAGGAACATAGGCGTGAAGGGGTTAATGCCGGAATTGGGGGGTGGGGCGAACGGGGACGAAGAGGATTGTGGGATATCCGTTGTACGTCGCCCCATGGGCGCCTGGGATATATCCAGTGCGCGTCTCTATTATTACCGACCCTAAATGGGGGCCAGAGGCGGGTTGGGGTCTAGCCAGTGCCGCCGCAGCTGCTCTCCGAGGCCGCAAGACAGGGGCCATCGGCCGCGGTCCACGGCGGAGAGAGAGGATGAGGCGGAGGTTTGTAGCACTTGTTTTGAGCTGAAGGCGTAGGCACGTCCTGCCTCCAGCTGCGCAGGAACAGGGGAACGGAAGTGAGAGGGGGTAAGAACTAGGGGAAACTGACAGACAGACGGACCGGTCGGCGAGAATTGATGACGTCAATGTCGCAAGTGGGTGTGTAATCATGTCGTGAAGGTACTGAGATGTATGACTCTTCTGGGTAGTGTTTGGGCGTGGGAGAGGTTGGGAACACATGAGTGGAGAGTAAAGTCAGCAGGGTGAAAACGTGTTGTCAGCTAGGCACCAGAACGTACAATCCTACCTATACGGGATGATTTTATTGGAGTGATTTTATTGGGCCCTTGGTTTCAGATTCTGCTTTTGATGGGCTGGCTGGGTACTGCACTAGAAGCTCTGTATGAGGAAAGGAATTAACCGTTATCCTCGACACTTACTAGACTGTTTTGCACTACTGACTTTTGGTTGGTTTATCACAAAGCAATGGTAACCGAAACAGAGGTAGAAATTTTGGTTAACATAAAAGGAATGGAATTAAAGGAGCAAGGAAGGCAAGTAGTTATTAGAAGAAAAAACAGACTAATGACATAGCATTTAGTTTTGCTGCTGCTGCTGCTGCTGGGCTCTTTGATCCCAGAAACCCCAGAGTGGGGTTTCAATCTATCTGTATTGTTGTAGTATGAATAGTTCTTTTCTTTTTATTGCTGATTAATAGTCCATTTAATGAGTATACCACAACAGGTCCATTCACCTTTTGATGGACATTTGATTGTTTTCTTAACTGAACATCTTGCTAAAACTAGCCGAAGTATGTGGGAATTTTCTCTAAGGAAACAAGTAGTAATATTAATTAACACCGGCAAACTAATCAATGAATAACAAGATTTACTATTATAGTTGCCTATAGTAACAATCCTTTGAGAAAATTCCACTAATCATTTTTCAGTCAGTTATCTTGAATTATTTATTTAAAAAATAACTTCTATTTTGCTGTGGTTATATGAAGGCTTGCCTCAGTATACCTTATTTGAGGTGTTTACATAAAACACTTTGATGGTGTTAGTGTTGAAACTGTGAAGACTGCTAGCTCTTTAATCTTCCTTGGTAACTGTACTTAGTAACCAGAAGGTAAGGGACGTTTGCTCTCCTCTCATTGTATGAAGTTGGAGGAAAACATAGTATTATTTCCAATGACATGTATAGAAATTTTATTTTTTTAATCTGGCAGAATTTGGTTCACTTTTAAAGCCTCCATATGTGTCTATATTTTACACACATGGGTAGTTCTTGCTGAGTAACTCATTCTACCTCAAGGTTAGAATAGAAGTCCTAGGACTATTGTTGGAATTCTGTAATTGGTGAGTACTCAAAGACAGTGGTTATAAATGTTGAGTACAACGACCAGCTGACCTTCTGGTCATGGGCCAAGTACAGAATGTCTCAGTCTCTTGTTTCATTGTAAAAATTCACGTGAATTGGGTGTTTGGATCTTTCGAATGTGTTCCAGCCACACTGAACTCCCCCATAGGAACCTTGATCATCCTTCTACTGCTGATTCTGCTTATTCCCTCTATACATTCTTCCTTGAAAAGTATTTCTGTCCATTCACACATACCCCAATCTTTTGCAACACTCAAGGCCCAAAGTCAGTGCCACTTGTTTGGAAACCTAGATCGCCTGTTCTCCTCTGCATCATCTTTCCCTGTTGTAAATAGGTTTTCGTGTACAAGGATGATAATGACAGGGACCTTAGGGAGTGTGGTATTGTTTACTTATCACAGGTTCTTATCTCATGCATTATATTGATGCATGAAAGGAGAAACACAAAGCCAGAACCCCCCAGCTTTTTCTGTGCTTGTGTTTTTCCACTGCTCTCTTATACCACTTGTCTCTCCCTGGTAGCAATTCTGAGGACTGTGAGGCAGCTCCCACTGAACTCTTGTTTAGTGTTCTGATAAAAGAAAAATGTGATGTGCTGGGCACAAAAATATCTTCATTTTATGTAAAAACCTTCTTGGGAAAGTTAGTATTTCTTTAAAATACAAAGGAAAAAAAGCAGAGCTCATTACTAATTTCTGCCTTTTATTGGCCTTGCTGTGGGCCTAACAACGGGACAATGTGGCTGGGGTCTAGGGTTGCCCAAGAGTTCCTGCTCTCTCGGTGAAGCTGACCCCAGGTAATGGAAGCCATAGGTGTGACTGAAAACAAGAAATGAGATGGATAAAGCCACATACCCTTTAGCCCCTGTACTCACTGACCTGTGGTCATCATCCTGGTAACTCCGACCTCAAAACTCACTAAGGAAATCCCCTGCCTCCCTCCCCCTACCTGAATTCTCCCCCCTTTGGCATAGTAGTCTTTTGTCTCTTTGCCTTTGCTTATTGTGTTATGAAAAAGATACCTTTTCCTTGACTTTATTCTAATGTTTCTTCTCCTGATTCCCACCCCCAGGGCCAAAGTGACTTGAACAAATGTATATAGGAAAAGTGTCTCCTTGTCTGTGGTGCCTGAAGGTACAGTTTCTAAGATTTCAACTCTGGGGTGGAGGGACTGAGAACAGAAAACCCACTTTGGCCTCAGTGTAGTCCTAAATCACATGACTTATAAGAACCTCTCCATCCGAGGAGTTAAGGGAGCATGCCCAGATGGAGAGTGCAGACTCTGGAGCAAGACTGCCTGTGTTGCAATCTGGGCTCCACACCCTGTAGGCCTTGATGACCCTGCACAAGTTTCTGCCAACTCAAATCTGCTGTTGAGCCCCTCTAGTAAATGTTTGATGTATTTTTCAACTCCATAATTTTTGTTTGGTTCTTTTAAATAATTTCTGTCTCTTTATTGATATTCTCTATTTGGTGAAGCATCCTTCTCATACTTTAAATCTTTACACATGGTTTGCTTTAATTAGTTCTTTGAGCATATTTATAATAGGTTATTTGAAGCCTTTGTCTAGTAAGTCTAATGTCTCAGCTTCTACAGGGACAGTTTTGACTGTCAAAAAATCAATACTGACTGGTTTTCCTGTGTTTGGGCCATTCTTTCTTTTTCTCTTTTTTGTGTGTCTCATAATTCGTTGTTTTAAAGTGGACATTTTCAATAATGTGGAAACTCGAAATCACATTCACACTGCCAGGGTTTGTTGCTGTTTTTATTATTGCTATTTGTTTATTGTCTTCCCTGGACTAATTCTGTAAAGTGTGTGTTTCCTATTGCGTGTAGCCACTGAAGTCTTGCCCAGTTACATCACTAAGCTTGTAGCTTAGTTGTCAGCTGATAATTGGTCAGAGGTTTCCTAAAATGTCTTGAACCAATAACCCTCCCACCTTTTGCATAGGGGCTCTGTGTGTATTGTGGTACACTGTCAGTGCTCTGGTAAGCAGTTCACAATTCTGCCTTAGCCTTCACTTCCTGTTTTTACAGACTTTCAAGGTTAGCCAGTGGTGAGAGATGAGCACCTTGTCACGTTATTCCATGTATTACAGCCTTCCACATGTGTCTACTTTTAGATCCTCAGAAGTGTATCGTAGCTTTTCAAAGACCTTTTTGGACATCTCATTCCCCAGATCTTCCTTAAAGCTTTTTGGCCAGTCTCTTGTTTTCCCTAACAGGTATTGTGGCCTAGACAGCTGTGATGTTAAACACTTGCCACTAATTGTGTTTGGTAAATACCCTGTAGATAGGGCTTTTCCCATTATCTCATTTTTCCTTTTGAGTTGTGTCAAATAACTCCAGGCCATGCCAAGGGATTTTTTTCAGGGAGCTGACAGACAGATCAAATAGTGGCAGTGCTCTAGGGATGGGAGTTTTTGAGGAGCTCCAAGCTGCTCTGCCCTTTCTCGTGACTGTTAAGCAGCTGGTTTTCATCATTTACTGTGGGTACAAGGCTGCTGGTTTTCAAGGCTACCATTTTTCAAGGATACCATTGAGCAGGAGAGAGGGTGATGGGAATAGGAAAGTTAAAAGTCCCCAAAGATCAGTGTTCTTAGCAAGATTCAGTGGTTTTCTTGAATAAATGCTTCTTGGACTGTCTGCAAGCTTTTAGATCATTTCCAAAGTTCTGAAAACATTGATTTTTAACACCTTTTGCCAGTGTTCTCGTTGTTTTGAAGGAGTGGATTTTCCTAGGTTCTTACTATACCATTCCAAAAGCCCCTACTCACATATTTTATTCTGTTTAGGGTACAGTTAGATTTCCATATGAAATAACAATTTTGGTGTATGGATATTTGGATCAGAGCATCTTAGCAGTGGGCAGGATTTGGACTAACAGTGAAAATGCTGAAGACGGCCTCTTCCTGTGTCTTCAGGACTTAAAAGACTGTCCTGAGCTGAGGCTGGGCTGTGATCATGAGTAGGCCAGTGGGTGAGAACTATGGACAGCCAGTGAGATAATGTTGTTTTTTCTTCTAGTAGGCTGTTTCCTTCTATGCTTACAAATACCTGAAAACCTTGAGATGTGTTTGAGCCAAACTTCTCCAGGGATGGGCCACCAGTTCCCCTTTACTGTTTACTATATTTCCCAGAAAGTTTATTGGACTTGGACCTTTTCTTTAGAAAGAATTTGGAAGAGAATGATATTAAAAAGAGGGAAACAAACATTTGTTGAATGAATCAATGAATAGTGGACTGGAGAGATCAAGGAAGGCTTCCTGCAGGAGGCATGGGATTTGATCTGGTTTTACGAGAATGGGTGCATGTTGGTTACTTGAAGAAAATGGGTGATAAGTAGGAAAGCAGTTAAATTTAATGGAACCAACTGAGATTACTATAATTAATTCCCCTCACTGAGCCACTGTAAGAATAAATCCCTGGGAACCCTCCTACACTGTTGATGGGAATGTAAATTGGTGCAGCCACTGTGGAGAACAGAATGGAGATTCCTTAAAAAACTAAAAATAGAGTTACAGATGATCTAGAAATCCCACTCCTGGGCATATATCTGGATAAAACTCTAATTCAAAAAGATACATGCACTCCAGTGTTCATAGCAGCACTATTTACAATAGCCAAGACATGCAAGCAACCTAAATGTCCACTGACAGATGAGTGGATAAAGAAGATGTGGTATAAATATGTATATACAGTGGACTTACTCAGCCATAAAAAAGAACGAATGCCATTTGCAGTAACATGGGTAGATCTAGATAGAGATTATATTAAGTGAAATAAGTCAGAGAAAGACAAATATATGATATTACTTATATGTGGAATCTAAAAGAATGGTACAAATGAACTTATTTACCAAACATAAATAGACTCACCAACATAGAAAACAAACTTATAGTTGCCAAAGGGGAAAGGGGGGATAAATTATGGGATTAACAGATACACACTACTTTATAGAAAATAGATAAACAAGAACCTACTGTATAGCACAGGGAACTATATTCAGTATCTTGTAATAATCTATAATGGAAAAGAATCTGAAAAAGAATATATATTTGTGTAACTGAATCACTTTGCTGTACACCTGAAACGTTGTAAATCAACTATACTTCAATAAATTTTTAAAAAGAAAGAATAAATCCTTGGGAGAAAGCCAGATACTAGGCAATGATAAAAAAATAATAATAAGGGAGGAGGCAGTATATCATAGTGGTTAAGAACTCAGGTTCTGATGTCAGATTGCTTAAATTCCAACCCCAGGTTTTCTGCTTATATGCTTTTTAGCTCTATGATTCTGGGCAATTTTCTTAACCTCTCTGGCTGTATTATCTTAATCTGTGAAATGGTAATACTTTCCTGCCTCACAGGTTTGGTGAGAAATTAAATGGGATAGTTCATCAATAGTGCAAAATACAGGACCTAGAGATTGTCATTCTAAGTGAAGTAAGCCAGAAAGAGAAAGAAAAATACCGTATACCACTCATATGTGGAATCTAAAAAAAAAGAAGGAAAAAAGAGGACGCTAATGAACTCATCTACAAAACAGAAACAGATTCGCAGACATAGTGAACAATCTTATGGTTACCGGAGGAAAGGGAGTGGGAAGGGATAAATTTAGGAGGTTGAGATTTGCAAATGTTAGCAATTGTATATAAAAATAGATTTTAAAAATTCTTCTGTATAGCACAGGGAACTATATTCAATATCTTGTAATAACCTTTAGTGAAAAATAATATGAAAAAGAATATATGTATGTGCATGACTGGGACATTGTGATGTACACCAGAAACTGACACATTGTAGCTGACTATACGTCAATTAAAACAAATAGTTCAAATTACAATGCCTTGTACAGAGTGAGTGCACACCAAAACGCAGCCATATATTTTTTCTGCCGGTTTTCTTGAGATATAATTGATGTACAGCACTGTATAACTTTAAGGTGTACAGTACAGTGATTTGATTTACAGACATCATGAAGTGATTATCACAATAAGTTTAGTGAATATGCATTATCTCATATAGGGACAGAACAAGAAATGGAAAAAGATTCTTTTATTTGTGATGAGAACTTTTAGGATTTACTCTCTTAATGACTTTGGTATATAACATACAGCAGTGTTAAGTATATTTATCATGTTGTACATTACATCCCTAAGGCAGCCATATTTTTAATCTATGAGTCCAGCCATGAATCCAGATACCAAGTGTACAAAGCTAGAAACCGTGTAGGTATGATCAGAATTGAAATTGTTTTTGAATGCTTCCTGCAGTTGCTTTGTTTATTTCTGTTCAGTTCACCTTTAGATTTTGGTAACATCTTCTTGAAAATGCTAGCATCATGTTAGGAAGAATCATATGGAGTGTTTTTTGTTTATGTTTGAGACAGAACATTAAAGGGAGAGTACTCACTTTGGGGGCAGAGGGTGCAGGGCTGCAATGAGGCAGGGATCCCACAGAGAGAATCCTCCAGACCTAGGTGAGATTCAGAGGGGTGGAGCCAAGTTCTGGATCAGCTTAACCTCCTGCTAGGAGATTCTACTACCTGAGTTTTTCTTTCTCCTTGGGTTTCAGAGGTCCACAGTTTTTATTTATTCCATCATAAAACAGGCATTGGAGTTAGTGGGGGGTTCAGTAGTATTTTTTTTTAACTAGAGCATGGGCTCTGGACCCAAGAGAGGCTGAATCTGAGCCCTGATATTCCCTAGCTCTGTGACCTTGGGCAATTTACCTAAACTAACCTTTCTGCACTTCTGCAGGATAATAATATCTATCACATAGAATTATTGTAAGAGTTAAATAAGTTAATACAGGTATATATAAAAGACTTAGACAAGTTCGTGACATATATTAAGTGCTCAACAAACTACTTTCATAGTGGGTGGGGAAGTGACTATTTTAATTCTCTGTTTACATGTTTAATTTTCTGTTTATATGCTCAATTTTTTTCGCCACTTTGTCTCCTATGCCTAATAAGTTTGTTAGGTGAATGAATGAATGCTCACTGGTAAACAATCCTAATAAAGTGAGAGATGCTACAAGAGAGCCTGAGTACAAGGCCCTTTGCAGGACATGGAGGATATGCTATGCTATGCTATGCTATGCTATGCTATGCTATGCTCAACTCTGAGCAGTTCAGGGAACGTTTGGTTGAGAGGCACTGTTCCCTTCCAGAATTTTCACAGTGCAGTCAGGAACTATGAGAACAAACTGCATCCTGGAACTAGGAGGAAAAGCAATGCTAGAGAGCCACCAGGTGGCAGTACCGCACAGGGAGTCAAACAGCAGAGGCAATGATGAGCCCTTTCCAGCCAAGGGTTCATGTTTATGTCTGACACAGTTTTCTCTCCTCTCCACAGAAATTGAAGCTGTGATTTCTTTCCCTTTGTTCTGCTGGTCTTGGAGCACTGCCATTCCTACTCAAGGCTGCTTGGGAACCATCTGGCACTCTAGCCGCTCGGTCTTTACCAAGCAGAGGAGAGAAACGATGCTGAGTTTCCAGTTCTTCAAACACTGGGCTTCTAACTCCCACATTACTGATCTATTTCTCTTGCTCTGCCCTGGATGGAATTACAAGGGTGAGTGGAGAAGTAAAACTAACATTTTTTGAGACAGCAGGCACTATATCAGAAATTTTATATAATCACGTCATTGAATTGCCACAGAATGCTAAGATTAATTTTGTCATTTATTTTATCCATCGTCTTGCTTCAGCAATTATTAACATGTGTGGCCAGTCTTGTTTCAGCTATACTCCTCACCTAACACCACTGGATTATTTTCAGGCAAATCCCAGATGATTTTTCATTTTATAATTTCATTTTTCTGTACTTTCTTATATACTTCTAAAAGATGAGGACTTTTAACACACCATAGTACCATTATAACATTAAAAACCCCAACCAACAACAATACCCTAACATTATCAAATATACACATAGAGTTCAAATTTACCTGGTTGTCTCAGTTTTTTAATTGCATTTGGTTAATTCAAATTAGGATTCAAACAAAGACTGTAGATTGAATTCATTTGATACCTGAGCTGTAGGCCATTTTACATAGAGGAAAACTGAGGATCAGAGAAGTTCATCTGTTCAGTATTCAAAAATGATTCTCTGTTGAATCAGACCTGGTACCAGATGTTGGGGAAACAAAGATTAGGAAGACCCAAGTCTCTGCTTCAAGAAACTGCATTGTATGCTCCTGTAATGCTATGTGAATATATCTATCACAGGACTTAATACATTATGTTATTAGTATGTGGTTATGCATCTGACTTCCCAGATAGGTGGCAAATCCTTAAAAGGCAGGGGCCAGTTCATGGCCAACATTGCATTCCTAATACTTAGCCTAGCCCCTGGTACATAGTAGGTATTTAACAGCTATGGAGAAAGGAATCATTTTGTCTGACTGGGCCTTGGGAACCAGTGAAGAGTTTCCAGCAGGGCAGTAGCATGATAAGTTTATCGCAGTAGGGAGGTGGTACATGTCATCATTTGGATGGGAGGCTTGACAGGCTGGAGGCAGAGAAGGGACTATTGTGGAGTTCATGCTAAAGAGGGTGAGAGCCAAACTAACGCAATGGCAATGAGTGTGGAAAGGAGATGGACTGGAGAGTTACTGAGGATGTGAATTTGGCAGTCTTGGTAACTTCTTAGTTGTAGAGAATAAAAGAAAATGGAGAGTTACAGGTTTCTGCTTTCCGTGATGGTGGTGCCACCAATTGATTCAGAGTAAAGAAGAGAAGCGAGTTTGGAGTAGAAGATGAATCCCGTTTAGGGACATGTTAAGGTTGTGTCTATGTGATCTTCAGGAGACACTCCCCATTAGGATGTGTGAGACCAGTGCCCAGGCAGGGAGGTCAGGAGTGAAGATCAGGGAATCACAGCATGTTGGTGGAGCTTGAAAGTCTGGCAGGGGATGCCATCACTCAAGAAGAAGACATGCAGTGAGACTGGGAGTGGACTAAGGAGGGAACCCCGACACTTACCAAGGGGGTGGAGAATGAGAAGCCCATGAGAAAGATGGAAAAGGAACAGCCAGGAGATTGGAAGAAAACCAGGAGAGTGTGGTGCCACAGAAACCGAGGGAGGAAAGAGTTCAGGAGGGAGGGCAAGCCAGTGGTTGGCATTCTTGAGGCAGGTAAGGAGGGGATGGTAGAAAATAGTTCAGTGCTGCGGCCAGGGTGTGGTTGGTGGTGGATAAGTGGCAGGAGGTGAGCCTAGAAAGGCCAGTTGGGCCCTCATCCAAAAGGGCCTTGGTGTTAAGACTTCATTCTGTAGATAATGGGGAGTCATCAAGAGGTTTCAAGCAGGAGTGACCTGGTCAGATCGGGGTGCTCTAGAAAGGTCAGCCTGAGGCAGCATGGAGGTTGCTGTGAAGGAATGAGGCTGAAGACAGGACTTCTTGGAGTGGAATAAAGTGGCACTTGGGCTGTCAAGGTACAGACTATCTTACAGAATGTTTAGTAGATAAAATGGGCAGGCATTGAAAACAGCTAACACTGAGCACTTATCATGTGCCAGGCACTGTTCTCAGTGCTTATGTGAATTATCTCACGCAGTTCTCACAACCAATCTGTGGGTAGGTAACATTACCCACATTTTATGCCTGAGGAAACTGAGGTACAGAGAGAAAAAGCAATCTGCTGAGGATCGCAGAGCTGGTAAATGACACAGCCTAGATCCGAGTCCAGGTGGTTGTTTCTAGCCCACTCTAACCTGTTTCACTGTATGCCGCTCTTAAACTCTAGATTGTTTTGCCTTGATCAGATCTGTTAGGATTCAGTTCAGCTGTGAGCTCTCAGCCATCCAAAATAACAGTGGATTAAACAGGAAAGAAATTCATTTCACTTTCATGTTAAACCCTGAAGGGTTGAATGGCCTATCATCGTCACAGGATGACACTTGTCCCCATAGTACAAGGTAGAGCTCCAACCATCACATCCATGCTCTAAGCAGAAAATGCTGGGTAGGAGGAAGGGAAGAAGGTTCCTCCACAGGTTCCAGCTGATGAAACCCTGAATTGTGTCTTCTGGTAAAGACTGTTTTACTCATCTGTCAGGTCACTGACTGAGGCCTGCTCTGTGGCTAAAAGCCTTAAAAATAGGAAATCTCACCTAGTTCTAATCCTATCTTTTAAGTGTACGTTCTCTTCCAGTTTCTGCCTGCTTCAGGTTGTTTGTCAATACTTTCAGGTAGTTGTTTTTTAAGGGTTTGTCTGGAGTATATCGTTGTTATATCTAAAGGGAAGGTGGGCTGGATAGAAGCTACTCAGTCATTTCCCAGAAGCCAGAACCTGCCTGATCACTGTTATATAACCTATGGCCACTGTAGCAAGAATGTTCTAGTGGGGTAGTAAGAAATTATACCGAGATTCTATCCAGATGTTCCCTCTCAGTGATGTGGCTTGATAAAGGCAGTTTTATAACCATATTAAATGTGATAAAGTTTCAGGATGACGGGTTTGGAGATATAAGAAGCTTAATAAGCCCCAACGTTGGCTTTCTCATGAGCTGAAATACCATCACTCTGGACAGGCCGAATCTCACTGCTACCAACCTGAGTGCCTCTTCCCATGAGGAGATTCACTCTAAATATTCCCTATCCTGGTATGTCCTGGCCACCTCTGCTTTAAAAAAATTATCAGAGTTTATTATAGTAAATGTAACTTCTATACAATTTATAGATCAGAATGAGAGGCCAAAACCTTTACCCAGTCCTCTGCCAGATCTACTATCTGGGATGGAGAAGAGTGGATAAATTGAAAAGCTTTTTAGCAGGTTGAATGGTCATGGATTGGTGACAAAGTATATGAGGGAGAATTAGAGGGTAGAGTTAAGGATGACTTCCAGGTTTCTGCCTTGGGCATCTGGAAGGATGGTCAGTACAAAATAGAGAATATAAGAAAGAGAGCACGTTTAAGGGGAAAGATGAATTCATCTTTGACCATGTTTGAGGTACCTGTGAGAATACATATGAGTCAGAATACATATGAGTCTGGAGGACTAGAGAGAGATATCGGATGGAGATATATATTGGGGAATCTCCAGTGGGTAAGTGATAGATGAGGCCATGGGTATAGATGATATAGCCAGATAGCATCTTCAGGGTGAGAGAAGAATTGATGACAAAGCCCAGTAGTTAAAGGGGAGAGCATAAGGAATGAGTCCCTTTAGAAAACTGAGAAACAGCCAGAAAATTCAAAGGCAGACAAGGAAATGTGGTATACAAAAGACAAGGGATGAGAATTTCACGAAGGGGTTGGTGGTCAGTAGGGTCCAGTTCAGCAGAAAAAGCAAACAAAGCAAGTACTAAGAAGCATGCATTGGATTTAACAACTAAGAGGTCTTTGCCTCAGATTGCAGTTTCAGTGGAGTGGCAGAGTGTTGCCAAAGTACAGTTTGGGGAGTGTACAGGGGTGGTAGACTTTAACACGTGTTTCCTGTTAACCGTTCCTCCCAGTAATCATACTTCTGTATAGTCCCTTAGTCTTGAATCTGGTAGGCTCTGTAAGTAGGTTTGACTGATAGAATGCAGGAAAGTGATGCTGCCTGACTTACAAGGGTAGGTCATGAGAAGCTGTGCAGCTTTTGCCTTGGTCTTTTGGAGCCCTGAGCAATCATGTACGGAGTCTGACCTCCCTGCTAGAGAGACTACGTGGAGAGATGGTGAGATGACATGGAGAGAGAGAGAAGCCCAGCTGCACCCAGCATTCCAGATACCCCTCCCAGGCGCCAGACGTGAAGGAAACCATGTTGGATCTACCAGATCAACCTCGCTACCAACTGGATACCACTGAGTGACTCCAGTAGATGTCATGTGGGGCAGAAGAATTGTCCAGTAAGCCTTGCCCAAATTTCTCACCCACCCAATCATGAGTATAATAAAATGATTATTGATTTCAGCCCCAGGTTTTGTGGGTGGTTTATTGCACAGCAATGTATAACTGGAACATTGAGCATTGAGGTAATAGAGATTGTATATGCGTGTTGTACTTCTGATAAGCTTGGAAGATGGCAGCTAGAAGGTCTCACAAGATTGTGGGAGGATTTTTTAAAAGATGGTGGAGACTTCAGAATGTTCACATGCTGATGGGGAAGGAGCTAGGAGAAAGAGGATTGAAAATGTGGAAGAGAGAGGCAATGGCTGGTACATGAGGTTTCTGAGAAGGGAAAGGATGAGATCCAAAACTCCAGGGAAAGAACTGATCTTGGCTGTAAGGGTAGTGGGGCACTTTAGCCTCTAAACTAGGAGATGTCTGCCTTCCTATGGATCTTTAAAAAGTTTTCCGATCAACTAAGCCTGAGAGAATATATGGAAGTTAGCTGGACAGTAATGGATCTCCCAAGAACTGGTTAATTGAGGTACTGTCTCTGGCTTACTCACTTAACCCAGACCGAAAAGTGACTAGAATTCACATCCTTATTTCTGTTTTTCCTCTGTTGACTAAGAGCTTATTCTGTCTACTGAGAATGTCGGAAACAGGGATAGGTGTCAGGCTTGAAGATTGTGATAAAGATTTGGAAAAGCTGTTATGAGAAATAAGAGCAGAAAGTAACTAAAGTTTTGTGGGAGGATTTCCAGGCAGTATTAGATTGAAAGCCACAAGAAAATGAGATTGCACTGATTATTATACCTGTGATATTTTTTATCAGCTCTTAGAAGCCATGACATAAGATAGAAAAAAAGTCCTTGCATGGATTCAAAGCTGATGTCTTCAGGGCAAAGTTTGATGAGAATATTGGTCAGAGAGGTTGAAGTGATTGATTATAAGATGTAGAATAAATAAGCAAGGAAGTGGGAAGCCATGCTTGGAGAAAAATGGAGGGATCGAGGAGGTCTTTATAAGGTTGAAGAGTAAGTGCAATGGGAATAGGAGTGAGAATGAGCTGGAGAGACAGAAATAGACTAAAATGCATTGTTTCAAGGATAAAGAATTCTAGGTGACCACAAAGTTCAGGGTATGACCATGGAGGAAGGTCATTGGAGACAAGATGATCAAGGGAATGAGAGGCCTGGATGTTGTATGAGTAAAAATGTGAACCTTGAAATCACTTAAGATAATGGAAAAACAGGCTTAGGAAAGAAATTAATTGAGATGCCATATCCCTTAATGAATGTAAGGGAGTGAACAGAGTTCAGAAGCTGACAAAGCAAAAAGGCTGTGATGTGTCTTACAGAGAAAATGCATGCATTAGATAAGCTTCATTCAGGTACGAGTTACAGTGATACTGGCTGTGAGTTCAATTTATTAATTTAACAATAGGGTGCATCTAGCAAAGGGAAGAGGAAACTTACTGATCTATAGGTGACACCACTCCAGAAATCGCTAAACTAACATCTGTAACATCTGTTGTGTGTGATGAAGCTATGGGAAAGATGGAAAAGTAGCTAAATTTGTGGATTCATAGGATGACAACCAAATTTTATAAAGCCTGGTAGACAACATTGTTGTGAGGCTGCGAGCCAAGGAAATTTAGTCATGTTACCCAGGGTCAGGAAAATGTTAGACCCTTCTCACTAGTGTTTTATTATAAAGAAATATTGCATATAATTATTTTAAGTAATATAAAATAAGATGTCTTTAAACAGAAATACAAGTGAAACAAGTTATATGTTGATTGGTTGATGAGACAGTGACCAGGACTTGCAGGAACCTCACCCTGTATATCCATTAGAAGCAATGACTCCACATTTGCTAATTCAGTGCTTGAGATAACTTTATTGAACATAACTACCATATATAGTGAGAATTGACGTGTGTGTGTGTGTGTGTGTGTGTTGTGGAGTATTTTAATACAAATTTCAGTCATCCGAACATTTCCTTTGTAAATATTAAGTATGTTTCTCCAGTATGTTGGTTCTCCAAGTGTGGTCTGGGGACCTTGGGGGCGCCTGACACCTGAGTTCAAAGTGTCTGGGAAATCCTCCTTTTTCCCACTACATACCTCCATAAGGTTGGATTTTCTTTATATACTTCAACCAAAATAACTAGAACTATATCACAGTGCTGAAACAAATATAAGAATCTAGCTGTCTTTTATGAAAGCAGACATGAAAGAGATTTTCAAAAATAGAAAACATTAAAAAAATTTTTTTGTTTTGAAAATATAGTTATTTTATTTTAATAAAATATGTTCTTTATGTTAACATGTAATGGGTTTATTGTTATTTTTAATGAATTAATTTTTTAGGTATTTTCAGTTCTGATTTTGAATATAGTAAATATTGATAGATCTGTAACCTACATAAGCAGAAGCTCTTTAGGGTCAAAGAAATAGTAGTAATATGTTTTTACTATGCACATGTAATTTTATTTTAAGCTATATTGTAAGAAAGCTGTCAGATGTAAAAAGAAGCACTAGTGCTAGCACTAGTCCTTTGAGCACATGTTTGTGAAACTTGCCAAAAGGAGGAGGAATTTTTAAACGACTCCAGCTATGCATGAAAAGAAACTAACACAGAGTGATTCTCGTAACTAAATTCACCAAGGCTACTTTTTGAAACTCTGGAATCCCACAGTAGCTTTTTGAAAAAAAATCCTTTTTGGTCTCACAGGGTGTTGCGAAAGTGCTGCTTAGTGGCCCACTTGCCTGTCACCAGGCTTACTCCAATGGTGGTATCTTACATAATTGTAGGAAAATATCAAGTCCAGGAAATTGGTATTGGTATAATATTGTTAACTAGACTACAGAGCTTATTCAGTTGTCATCACTTTTTACATGCATACATTTTCATGTGTGTAGCTCTATACAGTGTTATCCCATGTATGGATTTGTGTAACCACCACCACCACCGTCAAGATATAAAACTGTTCATTTATCTCAAAAGTGCTCTCCCTTGTGGTACCCCTTTATGTTTTCAGCCCCTTGCTTCATTCTGTCCTTATACCCTGGCAATGATTAATCTCTTCCTAGTCTCTCTAGTTTTGACATTTTAAGAATGTTATATAAATAGAATCCTATAATATGTAACCTTTTGGGATTGACTTTTTTTTTTACTAAATGAAATGCCTTTGAGGTCTAGCCTAGCTGCTGTGTATATCAATAGTTTGTTCCTATTTATTGCTGAGTAGTGTTCAACTGGATGGATGTACCAGAATTTGTTTATTCAATCACTAATTGAAGGACATTTGGATTATTTCCTGCTTTGCCATTATGAATTAAGCTGCTGTGAATATTCATGTACAGGTTGTTGTGTGAACACGTTTTCATTTCTCTGGGATAAATGCCCGAAAGTGTACTTGTAGGGTCATATGATAAATGCCTGTTTTGTTTTATAAGAAACTACCAGAATGATTTCCAGAGCCTTATTGTTTTACATTCCCAGCAACATTGTGTGAAACATCCTATTTTCCACACCTTTGCCAACATTTGGTATTGCTATTTTATATTTACCCATTCTAATGGGTGTATAAGGGTAGCTTACTGTGGTTTTAATTTTCATTCCCCTAATGGCTAATGATGTTGAATATCTTTTTGTGTGTTACTTTGCCATCTGTGTATCTTCTTTGGTGAGATTCTGTTCATGTCTTTTGCTCATTCTCTAATTGGATCATTTGTTTTTTACTATTGAGGTCATCTGAGAATTCTTTATACATTCTAGATACCAATCCTTTGTTGGATATGTGGTTTGCATATATTATCTCCCAGTCTGTAGCTTGTCTTTTCATCTTCTTACAGCACAAGAATTTTTAATTTTGGTCAAGTCCGATTAATAATGTTTTTTCTTTTATGGATGTCATTTTTTTTGGTGTCCAGTCTGAGAAATTTCAACAAGATTGAGGTCCCAAAGATTTTTCTCTTATGTTTTCTGCTAAAAGTTTCATAGTTTTACATTTTATATGTAAGACCATGATTCATTTTCAGTTAATTTTTGTATCTGGTTTGAGGTTCAAGTTGAAGTTCATTTTTTTTACCTGTAGATCTTCAATTGTTCAAGCACCATTTTTTGAAAAAGCTGTTCTTCTATTGAATTTTTTACACGTTTGTCAAAAATCAGTTGGGTATATTTGTGTTGGTCTATTTCTGGGTTCTTTATTTGGTTTCCACTGATCCGTGTCTCTCATTCCTCTAATAACACACTTTCTCAGTTTACTGTAGCTGTATAATATGTCTGATGAATAAAGTGATTCTCCCCAGTTTATTCTTCATTTTCAAAATTGTTTTAGCTATCATAGTTACTTTGCTTTTCCTTACAAATTTTAGAATAAGCTTGTATGTATCTGAAAATTCTTGCTGGGATTGTGATACTAATTGTTTTAAACCTAGAGATCACTGTGGAGAGAATTGACATCTTTACTATTTTGAGGCTTCCAGTCAGTGAACACTGCATGTCTCTCCATTCTTTTAGATCTTTGCTTGCTTGCTTTCGTCAGTTTGACAGGAAGAGGTACACCTACGAAGGGAGAGGACTGGTAGAATTTCAGTGGCTTTATCTTGCTCTGTGAACTCCGAACCCTTAATTGCCTCCTTTGTGGTGACAGCTCTCTCATAAGTTCATTGTGAAGATTTAAGGAGACACTACAGATCTGAGTCCTGCCTCTGACATGTTTATTTTCCTCCTTATTTTTCCTCTTTTTAGTTTTTGGGCCTCTTAAGTCCTGTCTGTGAACCCACATGCAAAATAATGGAACTGACTTCCACGGGGTTGTTGTGAGGAAATGACGTGAGAGAATTCAAGTGAAGCACCAAGGAGGCTGCCTGGCACAGAGGAGGGGCATTATAAGCAGTGGCTGTATCAGTATCACTATGTGAATGTATGGAGGTAAAACTGTAATTTCTTCCTTTCACTGAGAGAAACTGGTGATAGAAATCAGGGATCTAGTCCAAAGACCTGCCAGCACAAGGCAGGTAGCAGGATCTTGCTGAAGGTTCGGGAGAGTGGAGGAAATTCATCCTCACACAGCAG